GGGGGGGGTGTGATTCATGCATAAAGTAAACAATTTTTACTATGCCTTTTTGGACTAATTGTACTTTGATGGAGTTTAAGTAATGACATTTCAAGTCTTAAAGTGAACAAAGGCTCAAGAACAATAAAAATCACACTTGAATGTAACACCAGCACAATAGGGAACAAAATTGCAGAAGGTTGGAACAAAGTAAGAACGTTCGAACGTTCTCTGAAATCCTGCCAAGACCAGCTGCTAAGACATGACATGTTGCAGTCAACAAATGGGAAATGTTGAGGTACTTGAGTACCCCGTTCGAACGCCAACTCACATTCGAAGGTCCTCTAGAATCCTGAGAAGACTACACCATTGGAACCTGGTATGTTGTAGTAAAGAAAAAAGAACCACAAAATAAAAGTACTTGAGTACAACGTTCGAACACTAGTCCACGTTCGAACATTGTCTTGAGTGACTGAGGACCAAGTTGCTGACTGTAAGGTCAAAGTTGTTCAAGACGTACGGAAGTGACCATCACAGAGATCACAGGCCACTTGAGTGGAAGGAATCAGACCCCATCTGGCGTTCGAACGCCCTCAAAGCAAAGACACAGACAACGTTCGAACAATGATTAACCCTAATTAAGGCATAATTTAATAGGTAAATTGTGTTAGTTGAATAAAGTAAACTAGACAAAATAAATCAAATTAGAGTTAGTGTGTGAATAAAGAATAATGCATTAATTGTTGTTCTTTTTAGGATTTTGTACGTCAAAGCTATAAACTACTGGGGTGACAATCATCAAAGCTCAAAACAAAGGGGGATCAAAGAATTCAAGGCCACGTAACAAGACTTTCATACTACCTAACAAGATTCAAGGCCACCTAACAAGATTCAAAGGCACCTAACAAGACTTTCACCCTCCATTGTTGCCTATAAATACCACCCCTTAGGACTTGTAAAACATTCATCTTTTGGTAGTGAAAAACCCTCCAAAAGTATTATTACTTTCCTTATTGCTTATTGCTTTCTTTAAGTATTGTTTTCTTTTATTGTATTATTGCTTTCTTTTACTTTAAGTATTGTTTTTTTTATTGTGTTATTGCTTTCTTTTATTTTCATAGCTTGAGCTTCCTTCTTCCCTTAGAGGAGTGAAACTCTTCCACTTTTCTAGAGCTTTACCAAAGCAGTGAAGGGTGGAACGTGATTCACTCATTCTTTGTCGAAGATCGGCTCCTTGTGTGAAGTGTTTTACCTTGTAACTCCTCTACTTGGAGGGATGAGCATCACTCACATTTCTATCTTTAACAAAGTTATGAAGAGTGAGTAGTTTCTTACCCAATCTTTAGTAAGAGGTGATTATCCGGAAGTTATATTTATGTATTTCGTTTATGCTTAGCTCTAATTTTTATTTTTTTATAATGTCTTCTAATCATATTGTTGTCTTTATTTTAAGCACGAATAGCTAAATCTCTTAGTTGGAAAAATCAAGAGGAACCTCCACTTGGGTATACCATTTCAACTCATTCTCCTCCCCTCTTTCAGAGTTCAATGGTTCGATTTGACTGGGTTGAGGGTGGATAACTTGGTGAGTCTTTGATATTCCATAGGCTTAGTCACGGTTTATGCTTAGATACTCACCAATCTTACTCCTACCTTCCCATAAATTAATCATTCATTCATGCTCTATTGGAGGAGAGTTTCGAGTTGAGACAGTATCCCTATTGGAGTGACCTCTTGAATTTGCCAACATTTGTTTCTCATTTTACTAGCATCAAAACAACTTTACCAAACAACTTCTAACAATCAAAGATTTTACACTTTCTTTCTCCCAAAATCACCTTCCCCTCGGTTTACTTCTTTCCCTGTGGAAACGACCTTGAAATACCACCAAGTAAAACACGATCTGCGAAAGTCTCCTTGCATTTGGGGAGCACTTTTGTTCACACATACTCACATTTGAAATCTCATTCATCCACCATTCCATTGCCCTTTCTTTTGACATCATCCCTAGGAGAGTGACACTCCCCTTCATTCATATACTATACATGCTAAAAGGTGATGTTTAGAGGTTAGGAAACAACAAGGAATTTTGTCAAGCAAATGACATCTCGCGTTCGAACGCCTATAAAGAAAAGACAGACTCAACGTTCGAATGCCAGATCACATTCGAACATCCCCCACTAATTGGTGCAGAGTTGTTGGCTTTTCACTTGGACTTGGGCGGCAAACACTATTCCTCCCCCCCCCCCCCTTTGCCCTTCCTTGCCTATAAATACTCCCATGTTGGGAGCTTAAAGAGCATTCTTCCTCTTGTAGAGTAAAGGGGGAGCAATCATTTTTCTTGTAAATTAAGAGTGTTTAGTAATCTAGTTCTTGAACATTTCATGTTTATATTTTAATTTTGCATTTATATCAACCATGATAGAGGCTTAGACTCCTCTTGTAGTTGAAGTCTTTTATTTACTTATGCTAAGTCTTTACATTCATGTTCTAAAAACCATGATGGAGGCTTAGACTTCCCTTGTAGTTATACTTGGTTTTATTTACAAAGTATCAAGAGAGATAGTTCATCTTTTGGTTGTGATGGAAACCCTCCAAAAGTAACTAGCTTTCTTTTACTTTTATTGTTCATGTATTTCACTTCCATTACTTGAGCATCCTTCCTTTTTAGAAGAGTAAAACTCTTCTACTTTTCTGGAACTTTACCAAAGTCGTGAAGGGTGGAAAGTGATTCACTTATTCTTCATTAAAGATAAGCTCTTTGTTTTGTTTGCTTCACTTAGTAGCTCCTCTACTTAGAGGGATGAGTAGCATTCACTTTTCTAGTTTTGTCAAAGCCATAAAAAATGTGTAGTTCCTCATTCATTTTTTAGTAAGAGGTGATGAATATGTAAAGATTATTCGGAAGCTATGTTTGTGCAACTCCTTCATGCTTTAATGCTTTATATTCTACCTATTCATTGGATGATTGAATGGATCTAACAAAGTTGAGATACTTTGTATAACCAAGGGCTTTCTCTATGATACGGATGACTCCTGAATAGAAAGACCTGTTGGTTCAAGGCAAGCACCCCGACTAGCTCTTCATAACAACCTTTCAATCTCCACCATTATTGTGTTTTATTCAAAGAATGGACCCTTAATGCCATGGTTGGATGTCTTGTAAAAACACTTGCTTGTTTGTAGACGGCTTAAGTCTCGGCATAGACAATTCTTGTAAACTTTTAGAAAGGTATCGGAATCATGTGCTTAATTCTCACAATCCATCTTTATCTTTTGATTAACTTGTTGTTGACATGAGAGTTAATTGAGTTATAAAGCACAAACATAATAAACCGGATAGTCTATTACATGTCTTGATTCTCGAGCTAAAGGGTAACTGTTACATTTTGAGAATCTTATATTTTGTCTAGAAAACTCTTGAAAAGAATCTTCTATTCTATTCAAGAACCCCACCACTCCAAACTCTCAAAATTTTCAGTTACTTGGTCTCTATTATTGCTTACTTCAAAACACCAATCATAGTTTTCTGTGGATTCGACTCCGAACTTAACTGAATTATTACTATAACTTGACCGCCTGCACTTGGGTGTATACATTTCGGATCAAGTCAGCACATTCTACCTTGTAACGGGCGACGTAACCTTGCGAGGCTGGCAATGTGTCCCTGATGACTATGTACCAATTTTTTCTCCTTAAACGAAGACTTCTACATGCATTGATGATGGAGTGGGCCTTTTAGGAAAGTGGGCTTGGCCACATACCAATTGTAAATGGGCTTTTGTTGTTCTGCATCTCTATTCTAGGCTTAATCTACATCTCTGAGCTAGGTCTGATGTGCATCTCTAATCTGAGCCTATCAAAAACCACAAAGACAAGACTTAAAAAAAAAAAAAACAGTGATTGATTTTTGTTGTAGTGTATTATTTTAATTTCAACACAAAATAAAGCATGAACAGTACAAAATTTGTTGCAGTAAATCACATAAATTCTACTCGAAAAACTTGTCTATTTCAATTAAAAATTAAATACAGCAAGGCCCAAATACCAGGGAATTTGATTTAAAATTTCAGCAACAAATACACACAAATATTGTAGATTTATGGATTATATTATTGTAAATTTATGGATTATATTTTGATTATGTGTAGTATATAATTTCATTCATTACAAACTTAATGACAAATTGTTAAATTTGAATATAATTTGATAAGTTCATTTTTTAATCAGTTATGAATAGATTTATTATAAAAAAATCAATATTGGAACAACTGTATTTTTGTCAAGAAATAGATGATCTTTTGATGTGAAATTTTTTTTGTTTTCTTTTTTTACACATCGTTCATATATATGAGTTGCACATCTAAATGACATTTTTTTTATGAAACTATACATAAAAAAAAGTTTGTTGAGAATATACATTTTGATGAAATCAATGTTGTATTTATTGTTTAAATTTAAGAATTTTAGATTGTCTCAAGTTAAACAAAATCTTAACTCCGCCCATGGTCTTTAGGGTTGTCAATCGATTAGATGTTGATTTGTCCAGATTCGAACGAATCTGGTATGTTTACTTGACGAATTTCAAATTCTTAATATATATACCGCATCTATTACTAATTGAATCTCCGATTGACTCGATTTGAAATTTTAAATCTCAACAAATTTTATAAAAAATTAATAATTTAATTAAATTTAAATTAACTTTCAACTTAATTTAATCGATCAATTATTCTATTCAACATGTTTTATTTAATTTTATGTCAATTTTATTAATAATCTAAGTAAATATTTATATATATGTATGTACAATAAATTTTTCAATTAAATATATTTGTATGCATATATGTGTATATATAACGGATGAAATTTATTAAATTTAAATTCATTTAAAAAAACTTTACTGAATTTTAATTAAATTTAAATATTAATTTATTTCCAAGTAAATTAACTCGAATTCATCGAATATAATCCCCTTCGAATATAATCCTCACGAAAATCGCACCTTTTTGTCTTTTTAGTTTCTAATCCTTTCTCGTCGGGTCCTTCGTCGTATCCCATCTCCTTTCCTCAAGTCTCAGTCCCAACCTTCACCCTCTCAGTGCAGCTGCCACCACCATAACTATTCCATGGCCACTGAAGACACCTCTTGCCACCTCAAAATCATAGCCGGAGCCGAATCCTTCGGCTGCGCCCTCAAAGACACCCTCGTTGCCCACCTCCGTTCCCTTAACCTCGACGTCGAAGACCTCGGCACTGACAAATATTACACCGCCGGTGAAGAAGTCGGACGCCGTGTCAGCTCCGCCGCTAACACCAACTCCTCCGTCGAGATCCGAGGCCTTGTGGCCTGCGGCACCGGAGTCGGCGTCGCCATGTTCGCCAACAAGTTCCCCGGCGTTTACGCCGCCACCTGCCTCACCCCCTCTGATGCCCTCAATGCTCGATCCATCAGCAACTGCAACGTCCTCGCCGTCTCCGGTATGTTCACCTCGCCGGACTCCGCCATCGAAATTCTCGACACCTGGCTCAACACCCCCTTCAAATCCCCTTGCCCCGCTTCAGGTTCCAAACTTTGGCCCCCAGAAATCAACGATTTCTTGGACAATTCAATCCATGAAATGTCAAAAATTGGAGTAGAAAGTAACAAAGAAAATGAGAGGGATGAAGAGAATTCTATTGACCCTTGCTTTCTCTGTTGCTTGGCGAAAAATAGAGAGTTCACTCCAATCGAAATCATGCCTGGTGGGCATATGAATGTGATTAGAGATACACCCACCTCGGCAATTGTGAGGTTTGAGGCTGGGAGTGTTGAACCGGCGCATCATCATACGTTTGGGCATGATTTGGTGGTGTTGAAGGGGAGCAAGAGGGTGTGGAATTTGAGCAAAGGGGAGAAGTATGATCTAGGTGTGGGGGATTACTTGTTTACTCCTGCTGGGGATGTTCATAGAGTGAAGTATTTTGAAGAAACGGAGTTTTTTATCAAGTGGGATGGGCATTGGGATTTGCTCTTGGATGAGGATCTTGCTACTGCCAATGCTGCGATTGAGAAAGCGAAATGAGTTGTGGGTCCGTGTGAAATTGCGGGTATGTTGTGACACCACCTTTAAACTTTCAAAAAACTTGTGGCATGTCGCCTCAGCTATGATGCTTTTCAGTTTGGCTATGAACTTTTGTATTATTTTTGTTAGTTATGTTGTTTTTTATGCATGTTTATATGTTTTAATAAAGTTAGTCCTTTGTATGCATCAACTTTGATATGAATGAAACTCTGTTCTGTTTATGTCTAAACAACTTTTCTGCATCTAACTGAACAATGATGTAAGTAGGGAGAAGTACTTTGGCTTTAGGAAGACAGGATGGGTGAGAATGAATTATTTTTGAAACGAGATTTGAGAGTTGGAGAGGCATCTCAGTGAGAGGTAGATGATGGATGCATTGGATGTCACTTGTGGCCCTAGCCTCAGCCACCTAACTTCATACGACATTTAATATCTGATAAAATTTTTAATTCTTAGCTGTTAAACCAGAGACAGATTGGGATGTTTTACTTCTTCATTCTATTAAGCGAGCAAATTTCCCCAAAATTAGTGCAATTGTCTCTAATTGTTATTTCTTCTTTGTCGAACTTCGACAGAGGACTTAACCATTGGATTGTTTTGTATTGTACGCAAATTATTTTATTGTGTGGCTGTGCAAATTTGGCATGAGAAGTCTCAACTTCTAGTGTATCTTTTTTGCCCTTTGTTTGTTTTTCCTTCATGTATCATTTCGATTCTTTATATAACATGTTATCTATGAAAACTTCAGCATGAAGCCTGGATTGTAGTCTTTGTGTGTAGTTAAGCCTGTTCCTTTGTCTTCCTTCTCAAATGTTATACCCATCTTTGTTTGATATTGAAGTTAATCTTTGATTGGCAAGGCTTCAATTTAGATTTAAACGCCTGGCGAATGATTTTTAGAACTTGTATAAACTATGCTGGATTGCGAGTTTTACTGTGGCAATTTATCCTAGAAACTTACATTCAAGAGAGAGATAGGGAGGGAGGGAGGGAGGATCTGAATTTTCATCTTTATTCCCCACCTGTTAACCAAATGTATAAATTCAGTTTAACATGGTGTGAAATGATAGGATAAAAGCTGTTATCATTAGATGGTGTATCGTATGTCTGGGCTCCATTTGGATGCGGTTAGTTTGGTAGTTGGCAAATTCCTGCCATGCATTGCTTTCGACACAATGTATGTGTTGAGGTATTAAAGCATGCCCATAAAATGAATTAAAAAATAGAAATTAAATTGGTTTCCTTGCATGATGTTTTGCACAAAATAGACTCGATCTCCTTGGAGGTAACATTATATATTCTTAGGTTGGTGGCTTCTCCTCTGTCAATGAGACTGATTTGTCTCAGATTCAAATTCTCTTGTTTGCTTTGCTGCTTTTCTTTTCCCTAGTCCTCATCGTATAAAAATTCTTGGGTGCACCAATAATTTAAATGAGTTTCCTTGTTGGGTATATAGTATAAATTCTTGATTTTCTGATCAATGTCTGACTGATCTGTTTTTCATTTTTCAAGATTTTTTCTTCCCTAAAATTGCTTTTTAGGCTGTTTGGTTATTTTATATCTTAATTAAGTGATGCAGGAGAAGTGTGGGGAACGCTGACAAGTTTTGATGTGAAAATTTGACAATTAGTATGATATAAAGTTTGATGGATGGAGTGGTTGGGCACTTTGGTGAAATAATGCTCAATATCGTCATGAAAGTACACAAGTTGATAAAATAAGAAGAAGAAGAAGAAGAAGAAGAAGAAGAAAAACGAGATAGAAGAAGTGGTGTGTGACACCCTTGTAAGGGGTTTAAGCAGCATCTGTGAAAAATACTTCTGCGTTTGTTGGGCCTTTTGGGTTGCCGTGATTTTAGGTTTGATTGAGTGAATGGTTTGGTGTTGTAATTAAAGGGCTACAGAGTGAAATACAAGAGCTGGTCACAACTTAAAAATACAATATTTAGAGAGATAAGAGACTAATTATTATTACTTTGGGTTGGAATATTACAATCTGCCCTCTTTAAAAAAAAATTAGTGCTTGAAATTCATAGTTGGCAAAACGAATTGCTTTCATTGCACACACTGATAAATATTAATTATCTTTAACAGTATGTCCATCATAACCCAAGTGTAACGCACTTAGGACAATCTACAGAATCTATGACCTCTTGCTCTGATGTCATTCTGTAATGGTCCGATAGAAATTTAACATTAGTTATTATTATTTTGTATTCTTGCGTAATTAATAGCCTAATGTATAGGAGGGATTGATTGCCTAACGGATAGAAAGATCGATAGGTATTTATATGCTGTTGGAGTCCGTTCTCTATTAGTTTTCTCTCTTTATCTTTGTACTTAGTTTTTTTTTCTTTTCTTTGAAGATTTTGTCACTCACATACCATTTTTTTATTGCTTTTCTGTAATAATGTTCTTCCTTTATTTAAAAAAAAAAAAAGGAAAAGGAAACTTGACTCAAATGAATTTTTTTTTGACTATTTATGACTTTTACTAAATCTCAAATAGTATAACCGGGTTGATTCACTTCAAGTTTAGGCTCGAGTAAATTCAAACAACAGTCGCTAAATGAGGCTTGAATCTATATTTTTTTATTATTAGAAATCGATTATGTTACTCATTAAGTTGCGGGTACTATTTGACAAGCGAATCAAGCTTGAGCTTACTAATTGGAGCAACACATTGTTCGGGCTCAAGCCTGCTTTAACCGAGCAACATGTTGCTCGCTTTTGGCTTGAAAGTTGTAAAATTTAATCATGTTTGATTAATTTTTTGAATACGAACAAGCTTGGAAAAATTGAAACCGAATAGAGTTCGGAAAGTGTGAGTTTGGGTGATAGTTTTCTTGTATTTTAAGGAGCCTTGTGACTCATTCGTCGGCAATGGTTTCAAGTGTTCCAGGCGAACCCATTACATGAAAAGCAGGAAGATTGAGCAGTACGACCTTCTTACATTTTATGAGCGGAAAGGTTCAATCTATTCTTTCCATGACTAGAATTCACAAAATCCTTCGAGTGTTGATCTCAAAATCTAGTTTTTATTTAAATTCCTACTCTACTCCTTACCCTCTCTGCATCACATCCCATCATTATCTCTTATCAAGCACTTTAGGTGGTGTTTGTATCACCATAAGAGGATTGGATTGGATTTGAATCCGAACTCAATCCAACCCAATGCAAAGTGGTCCGGATTAAAAGATTATAAAGTTCGGATTCAAATCTTATCCCATCTTTGGATTGGTTTCATTTGATTTGTGGGCTCCATTCACATGTGAAGATAAAACATACTAAAATAACCATTACACCTTTTTGTTAAAAAAATATTATCTCATCTTATATCATGTTTGGAATGGAATGGAATGAAAAAAAGTTCAATTCATTAGTGTTGTCTTATTTAAGGAAAAAAATATGAATTAATAAATAACACATTTTTACAAAATATTGTAATAAATATTTTGTTTATTTATTTTATTTAATTTGTACAGTACACTTTTAATCAAAAAAATCATATGCATCAAGCAAAAAAAAAAAAAATTTCAACAAAGAAACAATACACAAATCGATATAATTCATGCCTAAATCGTTATTTGTTTCTTTCTATAAAATCTGAAGTTGTGTGTTTAAAAATAAAAGTTAATTGTTTTTTTAATAAATAAAAAATTAATCTGAATCATATTAAATTTTGTCAATGACCCAAACACAATTTATTTTCCATGAATTTTAGGGCATTTTAATATTATTGTCTGAATTAATAGCACAAATCAGGTCAATTTAAAATATGTTGCTTTACTTAAAATGTTAATTTTTTTTGGAGTTCATACATGGGAAACAAATGGATGAGCATAAAATTTTTAAAATCTTAAAATTTTAAGATGTAATGAGACCCAACACCACAGAATAATTATGATTTTTTAACAAGACTCAAACTCATTCGTTCAAAGTTGACTTACACCGAATATTTTCACAAATTTACTCTCAAATCATGTGCTTGCATGCTACATTTTGTCGATTGAGAGAGAATTTCTAACGGTAGCAATTAAGTTCAAAAGTATAACAGAGTTATATGTTAATTTCAAAATAATGGGGGTTAGGTGCAAAAAAACCGAACCACTAGGGTATAAACTGGATTTTAATTTGATTAAATTGCTCATCTTGCTTGGGTAGCCGTGGAGAGAGTTCCAGATGCTTCGGCTTCAGGATCAGACAGAGAGAAAGAATGAGATAGAGAGAGAGAGAAGCATCTGGAAAATAAACGAATGAAGGAGAATAAAGGGGCAATTGATAAGGGGTCTCTGTAATCAGATCAACTAATTCCAATGCTAGGTAGTTAGATTCGGTTCCAGTTTCTAAAAAAATTCGCCGAGATTTCCTATGGTCTCTGAGAATTCTTTCCTGGTTCGAACCAGAGACCACGGAAATTCTTCCTAGTGAAGATATGCACTGAAGATAGAGCGCAGGGAGAGTTAATCAAAGGTCAAGATCTTGGTAGAAGACGAATATCCAGCCTTGGAAAACCTGTGATTCAAATGGGAAACGAGAGAGTGGAATTCCAACAGACAGATAAGGTCTTCCCAAATTTGTTGCATAAGATCAAATTCTAAGATCCGAAGAAGAGAGAGTCCCAACCTTTCTATTCAGCGGATAAAGGAAAAGCAGAGAAAGCAAAACCAAAGAGGGAGAGGCAAGAAGAGAGAAGAGTGAGGTCTGTGTGACAGATCTCTGTTCACATTACCATTTGTTTCCATTTTGTGTAAAGTTATTATCTTTCTTCAATGGAGAGAGAGAGAGAGAGAGAGAGAGAGAAGATGAAGGGCGTGTGGCCTCTGTTGGCTGTACTCTTCTTACTAATAGACTGCATCAATGGGGAAGATGCATTTGTGTTCTTTTAGTCCAGCCTCCTTAAATGATAATCTTTTAGTCAATGTTTCGGTTTTCTTTTATTAAGTGGAGCTTTGCTTGTTAGTATCCTCTTTCTCAATGAACTGTAAGAGATTGAATTTTATTTAGATTACAATCGTCTGAGACAATTTGTGGATAAATTCATATTTTTGGAGCAAGAAAGTGGATGGTCAATACCGTTCCATCTTTTGGATGCTCTTTTTCTTTGTATTTGTGTAAGAAGATCATTTGATAGTTTTTTTTTTTCCTTTACTGATTTTTGGTTTTAGCATCTTTTGGTCTAAAAATATATTGAGATGAGTTACTAGGTTTGCTGGCATTTTTAGGTTTATCTATGATTGATTTTGTTGTCTTGGAATGTTGTCTTTCTATGTAGTAAACAAGCCACAAGATCTATATCTCCTCTATATAAGAATGCAACTTGGATTTGTGTTTCCTGTGTATAATTTCTTGGCATTGACAACAATTACATTATATCGACTACAATATCATATTACAGTGGTTTTATGTTTTCGTTTCCTATGCCTTTTTTAGCATGACTTTTTGAGATAATGGCTGCCGTGTAGATTTATTAAATTTTAGTTTTTTCTATTATACATGTAAATTGTTTATATCACTTCAGATTTGTGCTCTTTGCATGTAACTCTCCTTTGTCACAGTGCTAACTTTTTTGTGTTTTCAATTGTCAGTTTTTATTGTTATGTGTTGTACTATTTCCTGCAGATGTTCCCCGCTTGAAGGAACTTGGTTTTGGTGGAGTGGTTACTCTAAACGAGCCATATGAAACTTTGGTCCCAACATCATTATATCTTGTAAGTTTGCCCGCTCTAAATTCATTCATAGTATCATACAAATGACCAATTACAACTATTAACCAAGCACCACTAATGGAGAATTTGTGTACACATCAACACAACCAAAAATACATGCATGTTACATATATGTGTCCATACTAATAAACAACAAGTTCAACAAAAAAGTTAAGACATTGCTTTTAATGGCCTGTCAAATGATACACAACCATCTCCATCAAGTACAAGGTGTGTACTACAGAAGTCCGCCAACCCATGTCCATACTCAGGCAAGCTAAAGAAGATATCAACATTTACAGGGTCTGAACAAATAATATTAAGGGCAGCATGTCGATCCACCATGGATAGACCATTTATCTTCTCTAGTTCGGCATTCACTTTTCTATGTGCATCAACAACATCGTGATTATACCCAACATGGAGTGCTATCATCTCTAGTTGATTTTGACAATCATGCACGTAGTCAACAAACACTTTAGAGATGTTCGACAAACTCTTTGTTACTGACTCGACCACATTACCAGTCACCTTTTCTTTTCTTACTTGTCGATGGAGTCCCAACACTGGGCTCAACACCAACTTCTTGTCCAATCGGATATTCGTGCTATTTGAGACAGGGACATCCTCGCTGAAATCCACCAGTCCATCCATGTTATCAGTTTCACGCATAGAAACTTCCACCTCAGCATCACCTATCATGTCTTCCAAATTTGCCGCATATTCTCCAGTGACACGATCCTTACCAAATATGACTCCCCAATCGTTGAAGTAAGGTAATGACTTCTCATGCATGTCCTTAGCGTTTCTATCATTCTACACAAGTACACATGTAGGCAATAAATTCCAAAACATGTGTAATTTTTTTTCTAACTACAATTAATTAAATGTATTAATTCACCTTCAAGTGGTCTTTCTAGATGTCATCAGTGTCAACTATAATCTTATTCTCGGTGGCATTAAAACCAAATTTGGAAGTGGCCATCTTGGTGAACAATGAGTTATAGTTTTTTTTTTTTCCAAATCTTCATCTTAGACTCGATGTGTGGGGAAGCTCGCAATTCATGCCTAGGAATTGCAGTGCACAAACTCTGCTCCAGTGCTTGAAGGTATCTTGGTTTGAAAGTGTCATTTTGGCACTTCCAACCATTAATACAAAGGTCCTTTATGGACGCGATGAGCTGAGTTTCTTCTACGTGCGTCCATGTCCTTCTTATATCCTTCTTTGTCTGTGTACTTCAATTTGGCTTAGACATACAATGCTGCACAAACATGGTAAGCACAATAATTTGAGCACTGCTATGTAGTTAC